GCTTTGTATCTTCAGACTCATCACGAAATATATTTTTAAAATCTAAACATTTTCTTCTCGGCAAAAATTGCTGTATACTGGGCCAAAAGCACTAAGTTTGTTATTTTTCGTCTGATTCCTTTTTTGACAATTGTTTTTGCACATATATCGGTATCATCTTTCACAAGTACACATTATTTTGGAAGTTTATTGTTCTTTTGTGGCTTCCTTGCAAATGAAAATCATAACATGTTGCCTATTGGTGAAGAAGGAATCACTGGGCATCACGAGGCTTTTCGATAATTTTAAGATCACAAATATTAAGGCCCTGTTTGGTTCATAAGTCCTAGGACTTTTTTTAGTCCCAACTTATAAGTTTCAAGTCTCTAAAAAGTCGTTACCTGTTTGGTTTATGGGACTTATAAGTCTCTATAAGACCATGTTACAACTATAAGTCCCTATAAGTCCCTCCTTGAGGGTCTTATTTCATAAGTCCCAAATGCCCACTTTAAGTCCCTATAAGTCCCTTCTGTTTGGTTTAGATGAGACTTATAGGGATTTTTTTAAGTCCCTAAACCAATAAGTCCCTGGAAACAAACACCCTCTAATCGTCAAGCCAATGTGGTGGCACATGAGCAAAATTCAGTTTTCATAATAGATCAAAATGATGTTTTTCTTGATAGTGTTCCACCCCGTGTGGTGCATGTATAACGAAAGATCATATGTACCTTTTAATTAATTAATATATGAAGAGTTTTTTTTCAAAAAAATTGAAAGAGAAATAGCGTATGAAGTTGCTTTGTCTTTAGTTTTTGATGATTGTAAGGATCTTGTGATTGAGTAATACAAGTTTTCACCCGCAAGAAAAAACATATGCAGTGTAGTGAACATTGACCTACAAGATATAAGCACACAACAAGTCTTGTAGAGATTGGAAATCAAGATGTGTGTATATCGTACCCAAAAAAAAACCACATCCAATTTGGTGTATATCTGGGCAGCAAAAAATGCATACTATTTTTTGTAGTTACTCAGCACAATAAAATTTGAATTACATTTTTTATCCACGGCAGAATTGGTCTTTTATTTTGCACCCAAGGAGCTGTACTCAACCGACATTTGTATGTACGGTCTTCTCTTTCGGTTTGATAAATGACATGTTTTATGTTGTTATGGTACTCCAAAGAGATACTCCCTGATACATATTATTTGTCATTGCTTGGAACTTTGAACTAACACTACTTCATCAGGGTCCTAGGAAGAGGGAGGAGCTCAAAGGATAAAAATGATAAAGTCCTTGATGGCCACTAACAATCATCAGACTTACTTTATTTTTTTGAGAAACAAAAAATAAAGTTTTTACAATGGCACGACTTGAAAATTTCGGCAAAGCCAACCTGATCCACGACAAAATTAATTGGAGACAAAGAAATGGGCGTAACAGAAGCAGGGAAAGCGCCCATAAACGGTGGAAGCCCAACTAAGAAAAATGGAGCCAACTGCCAAAAATCGAAATGGGCCTAACTTAAAAAATGAAAGTGAAAAAATATCAGAGCCAGGTTTCGATCCTGGGACCTGTGGGTTATGGGCCCACCACGCTTCCGCTGCGCCACTCTGATTAGTTTGTTTTTCTTGCAATCTCTATTTACCTATTATTTGAATCTACTACACAAGACTAGTGCAACGCAGACTCAGAGTAAGCTTGCTGTTGCGGCTGTAGCGAGCTATGCATCTTGTACTAATTTTATTTTTTGATGGAGTAGTAGATTTTATTTTATGCCTTGATCTACTTACAGTTACCAACAGCTTAGCTTGACTGGTTCAAGCCTGCAACTGCGATTGAGATGCACTCACATCAAAGATTGAGTGTCAGACATAGACGACTTTGAGCACTTGACTTGCAACACTGGTTCAATGTCAGCATCGAGGGTCGTGACTACATTAGGTTAATCAAGATGTTCAAACCACCTTTTGACTTGACACACACTTGTTAGAGTATTTAAACTAAGAAGGAGGAACCTGACCACAAAGTGAGGCTGAATCATTTCTTCATAACTGAAGCTGGGCGCAGACAGGATCATCGACCATGAAGCGGCTTTCTTCTTCTCAGTCCTTGCTCCGACGCGTTGTGGCAATCATCATGGTGATCGTATGCTGCTGCTCCCTGCTGCCATGTCCATGCTCCGCAGTTTGCAAAGGTACTTTGCCATGTGTCAGCTTTAGTGATTTTGTTACTGTTGAATTTTAATAAAGTGGCCGCATGCATCTCTCCGATGCAGAGGCAGGGGGATAACCTCCTTTTCCAAAAAATAAAAAATAAAAGGTGTCAGTTCTAGTTCATATATTTTGGAAGTGGATGCCTGTTTTGACATATAATTTGTTGTCATGGTATCAGGGCGTGCATTTGGCCAGGGGACTGGGGAGAGGACAGGGGGAGGAGGAAATCATCTTGGTCAGGGGGATGGGGAGGGCCCAAAAGGAGAAGGATACCATCTTGATCAGGGGGG